TCACATCGGCACCATGTCTCAACAGGAGTTCAGCCTGGTGGCCACCAAAAGCAGCAAAACGCAGTGCGGCGGCGCCATCGTTGTTCCGCGCCCTCACATCGGCCTTCTGCTCCAGGAGGAGCTCTGCCATGGCCTCCTGGCCCGACAGGGCAGCTTCATGCAGCGCCATGCGGCCGCTGTCAGCCAAGCCTTCTGCCCGGTGTCGCAGGCCAAACTGCGGCGGGCTTCGGCCACCTGCTGGGGACTGAACTTTGCTCCCCAGCCAAGACACCTCCTTGGCAAGCATCATCTGTAGCATCGTGGTGGCCAGGAGCGATCTGAGGTACAGGTCAAACTCCATGAAAAAGCTAGGCAGTACACGGACCCCGTATATCTCAATGGTTTCCGGGAAGAAACGTTCAGCACCTAGTCCAGCTATCAAAGTCCTGGCAGTCTTGTTGACAGCCTCACCCCAGATCCGCCATTTATCGGCTTCAATCGAGCTTTCGGCATTGAGAATGGAGACATCGGACAAAGCCGAGAAAGTGGTTTCCACCATCCTGGCAAGAACTGGGTTGTGAACCATGTCCGGCTTGGAAAGGGGTCCTTCCCTGCAGATAAGTTCCAAAGGTTGCCCCACATCCTTCAACCGAGACAGCTCGAAAAGACACCAAATTCTCGAAAAGGGCTTGGCTGTGTGTGTGTGTGGCATTTATATGTTGCCACAGCCTGGGCCCACCGAAGTGGGTAGCTGGAGGCAACTTTCGGGGCGCCAAAGCGCAAAAGTGTTCGAAGCAAACAGCTTCGCCACCAACCCTGCTGCACGGCGTGCAGTCCATTGATGACATCTTCCCGTTTCCGACAAGGCAGAAATTGAATAAAAGGAATCACCAAGCACATAAGGTCAGCTGAGAGCTGATGACTCGACATGCCTACGCAAATCAAGCAGAGCTTGTTTCTGTCTTGCAAGAGCAAAACTACTCCAAGCCATAGCATCATCGACTCGACGAGCCCAAGCACTCAAAGAATCGGCACAGGGCTGCGCAACGGCCTGAACTGCCGCATCAATTCTGTCATTGTAAGTCCGCCAGACAGCAGGGGAGTGGCCATCTGGCGGTGTCCAATCTTTGGAGCGGCCGTGGGCCGGCACCCATGAAACTACACTTTCAGGACTGAGCAAAGCAATGGCGCGCCACATGCCAGATGCCCAACGTGGCAAAGATCCACCACGCCGCACCCTCGCGGCAGCGAAGACAACGGCTTGTGAGTCACATAGAACACGCACTCTCACTCCAGTGAGATGTGCTGCATGCAAAGCTTGAAACACGGCCCATGATTCAGCAGCAAAAATATTCTGGTCGCAACCTTTCATCGGAAAAGCAAAAACCTGACTTTCAGTCGCGATACCCCAAGCCGCCCGCTTCTGCGAGTGGCGAGTTTTGCAGCTACCATCAGTAGCGACCAAAATCATTCCATCAAAGAGCGCCATCTGCGAAATGAAAGCGGAGCAAATTTCAACAGGAGGGCGCACGTCATCCGGCAAGAGATCAGGCGGCTGCGGCGGCGGAGCTATGCTACGCACCAACAACCTCTCTTCGACACCGTTAGCAGGCGCAGAAGTGTGTTCAGGCAAGTTGGTATCAGGGCAATGCCAAGTGACATGCCGGCATGAAGGCCAATCTGCACCACACACACACAAGACACGTGATTCAAGTCAAATCTCTTGGCCAGCTTGCGACTGGCTGGCCCTGCAGCACAAGCAATGGAAAACGACAAGGGATCTTGCTTTTGACCCTGCTTCATGCAAGCCACATGCACAGCAATGACAGGTTCCACGTTTAAGTCGGCAACTTCCGCCGCACGCGGCTCGCTAAGCCACAACTGCCGTTTCCAGGCGGCTTTCATAGCGGCTGTGACACTAGTCTCACCATGCGAAAGCAAATCAAGCACACCTGAAGGAGTACGGAAACGACTTTTGCTCAAGCGCTCACAACCCCACTTTTGCAGGACTTCAAATAAGCGGCTGCTGCGTTCACACGGCTCAACCTCAGTGAACTGCAACCTGGAAATGTCAGTCACACTTTGGCATGCAGCAGCTTCACGTCGAAGTCTTCACAACTCGTGAAACACAACTCTGGAATCCAAGGCGAATTCTGGGTCAAGCTCGGGCGTCAGGAAGCAAGCCCACATCAAATATCTGGATCTCCCAGATTGAGGATAACCCAACATGGTTGTCTCAACAGCATATCTCCATTTTTGCAAGAGTTTCTTGGGAATGGTGGTCCAAGCACCTGTGTGCGAAAACAAGGACAGGACAAGTGACCTCACAAGCCGCCTCTTGCTCCAGTGCCTGTGAGTGGCCATTCGAAGGCGCCTGAGACGCGCTTGCACTTTTGCAACAACGGCAGGCTCAATTGGTCTACGGCGAGCCTTACTAGAAAAGTAATGAACCCCCAACAACTTGAAGTGGGTAGCCATCTTCCACTTCCTGTTACAAGCAACGTTCCATGACTGAAAAGCTTGCAATTGGGCATTTCGGCACTTGTAGAAGAGTTCACATTTAGAACTGTTCAACCTGAGGCCCAAAACCTGGTCAACGCTCTGCGAAGCATCAAGAGCAAGCTGCAGTGGCTGCCGCTCTTTACACCACAAAGTCCTGTCATCAATATAAACTGAAAGTTGGACACTGGGCGATTGTTGCTGCACATACCGACACCAGACAGTCATCAATCCGGCGAGCAAAGCACAGCTACTTGGACATCCTTGCAAAATGCCACGGGTGCATCGAATGCGTTCACGGCTGCAAAAACCTTGCCATTCGAAACTTTTGACTTGCATGCGATAAAAGCATTTCAAAATGTTCACAACTTTGGCAGGAGCGCCAAATTTCTCCCAAACAATGAAAGCTTGCTCGATATTCACATGATCAAAGCATTTGGCAACGTCGATCTTTGCCCCAAAAAGAGTGCTCTCCTGCAAAGCTTCATGAAGGTCATCATGTACGATGGTGGAACTTCTCGCCTTCAAACCACCGACTAACTCCGGCGGCGCCCATTGGTCAATCCAAGGGGACAACTGGTGCAAAATGCAACTAATGCCAAGGCGCCAAGCAAGGCAAGCGATGCTAATAGGTCTGAAACCGACATCCTTAGGGATAAGGACACAACGCACTTGCGCCCATTGAGAAGGCAGAATCCCAATGTCCAAAATTCTACGCCACAAGGCGGAGAATGCAGAATAAAACCCTTCGGGCAACAAAAGCCACTGGTCCGCTTTCCAACCGTCTGGTCCGGCCGCTTTTCCAGAAGCTTGTTTGGTGAGTCTCACAAAGCTAGTATCAGTGAAAACAGGCTCCGGACAAAAATACTCGTCAGCACGTATCCAAGAAAGAAAAGGCAGAACCCGTTCAGGCTCAACATTGCTATGCGGGCACCAAATGGCCTGCCATTCACGACCAAAATGCTCAGCTTTGAGCTGCGGATGCACTGGAACAGAGTCAAGGCCTGACGGGGCAATGAGCTTATCCGCGCCCTTGACCCAACGAATAAGGGCTTGCTCATTCTCATTCATGTCGGTTTGCCACCTAGCTAACCTTCTTTCTGACGAAGCATCACTCTCACGCTGAATGCATTGCAGAAGGATATCCGGAAGGCGAGGAGACAAAACATCGAACTCGGTGAGCTCAGGGAAAATTCTAGCAAACCTGCGCAGCTCTTCGCGCACTTTGTTCAGTAAACGCCAAGGCCAAGAAGGTTTCTGCAACTCTAGAACCCGCCTATAAGTTCTTCGCAGTCTACGCTCAAGGGTGGTCTGCAAAGTGTCGGGCTTGACAGGAGCCCGAGGCACCTGACTTGGAGCTGGCACGGAACTGCGCTTACGCCCTGGCTTAGCTTGTAAGCAAATCTCAGCTGCATTGCTCAGAAAGATCCAAGCTTCTTCGATTTGGCTTTGTTCCAGCAAAGTGTGAAAATGTTGCAAATCAAAATTGCGACCCTGCAATTCGTTTGACACAGGCTCAGGGGCTAACAAGGCTCTGGCAGGCTGAATCCTAAAGGAAGCTTCCTCTGCAAGCAGAGGAAATGAATAAGACACAAGGTCATGGTCAGCAACTCCAGGGACTTGACCCCTGTCTGAAGGAACTAACAACATGGAATGCAAAGCGTAATCAATGTGCCTACCTCCAGTGCGAGTGGGCGCCTGGAGCTGCAATGGCCCCGCAATTTCATCTGCCAAATGGAGCCGCCCTCCCCTCAGTGGAGAAAGCGCAGGTTCCTCATCAGGCACATTGTTCCAATCACCTATGAATAAACAATCTTCACCCATCTGTGCAGTTAGTTCAAAAAGCAGATGCCCTAGTCGGCAGGCACTTGAGCGATCCGAAGCATGCAAGTACAAGTTGACCAAAACAAAAGGTCTTCTGGCAGGCCTATGCACTTGCAGTACTTGCCAACGGCCACTGTGGCACTGCAGTTCTGGATCAATTTGGGAAGGCAAAGCTTTCTTCTCGACGGGCCACCGGCTCAAAACAGCAACGCCGGCAGTTGGTGCCCCCTGCGAGTCTTGCGCGCAAGGGCCGGGCAAAAAGGTCCAGCCTTGCTGCTTGGCAGCATGGTGGGCTGACAGCATGTTATCCTCGGACAAACGGACCTCTTGCAAGCACAAGATATCTAACGAGTTCTCACGAGCTAAAGTTAACACTTGAGCCATCTTTCCTTTGAGGGTGCGAACATTCAAGGTGCCAACCACCAGAGCACCTTGCCCAGAGGGCGAACTGCCCTCGGATTCTCTCTGGCTAGGTTGCGTCATGGCTTGGAGCCAGACGCCACTTCCCCTGTGAGCATATTGAGAAGCTCACTCAGCGATTGCAACTTGCTTCCTTTGGCTTGTTTCATTTGGGCTTCAAGGAATCGCACCAGCTTCATGCGTGCCGGACTCCAAGTGACCCTACCTTTACAGGCGGCTTTCAGGATGGTGCTTTGCAAAGCAGCGACACGACAGCATGTTTTGCAGAACATGAATCTCTTGGGCGGCTGGCCCGGAATCTGCAAAGGAACAATGTCATGGTCAACAGGCGCAGCCTCTGGGACAGAGTCAGAGGGCTGCAGCTTTTGAATGACACTTTCAAGAGCCTGGCGATCAGCACCGCCGGGTGCAAAACGAGAGCGGCACTTCTTCAAACGAGCTACGAGCATAGCCCGTTTTGGACCTCCTTTGCTGGCTTTCTCGCAAGGGAGCTTTGACATGGCCTCAGCACTGGGCGACAAAGCAGTACACTTCTTGCAGAAGATTTTGTTCAAAAACCGTCTGCGCTTTTTCCCCTGACCCGTGTAAGGCAACTGCAAAATTTCGCAGTCATGAAGCCCTTGCTTACCACACTTCAAGTCAAGCAATTTCTTGGCGTTGCCAGCTGAAGTCTTGGCTGACGTTGCCCTTTGCGCACTCTTGGCGCTTCCTCGCTTGATCAAAAAACCTCTTCGTGGCGGCTCTGGGGTGCACCTCTTTGGCGTGCGCCAAGCGCATCTTGCGGAGCGCATCCAAATTCTTGACCTCAATAGGAGTACCTAGATCACAAAGAGGACACTTCCAGTTGCACTTGTCCTTGCTGTACGGAATCAGCTTCGGCAAACGAGGGTTCAAACTAAGCTGACTGGCCTTCTCAGGATGCCAGCTACGAATGTGGTCCTTCTTCACAGTCGTCCAATGCTTTTTGAAACCAGTCCAAAAACCACAGATGGGACAAGTCCAGTCTTGTCTTTTAGCGCTCGCAACAGCTTCAGCAGGCTTAGACTCATCATCACTACACGATGCAGGGTCACCACTCAAGCTAAAAATGTCACTCGGAAGAGACTCGCCAAAGGCACTTTCAGGCGCTCTATTGCTGGTAAGACCCGCAGCGGCACTAGATCGCTTCTGAGCATGTCTATCATGCGGCAACGAAGGCAAAGCTGACACACGTGTTGGCGCCTGGCTTGCGGAGCCACGCGACTGGGGTGCCCTCTCCGGTGGCAACGCAGAAATCCGGGTGGCGCCAGACACTGACTGCCCCGAGCTCATAGACTTGCCTCCTCCACGACCTCCTTGCATGGGGCCGTTGGCTCGCAGCTCAGGATTCAGATCTCCTTTGAGGTACTCGTAATGCCGGTCCTGGAATCAAAGACAAATGTATCCCTTCTTGCTAGACTGATTGTAAGCCTCAGGTTCGGCGAGAAAAGGACAGAAAACAAAGATTGTTCGGTCGAAGTGCGCTGCACCAGCAGCAATCTCGAGACAGCCTGCATACGCTCCAGCCTTGCTGACTAAGCGAAGGTACTCTTCCCAGGAATCACAGATTTCTTCATCCGGCCTCAAATTGTCCCACCAAGGTTGGTATCGGTCGGCATGGCGCTTCAAATGAGCAATCACAGCAGCACGAATAGCACGCGCATGCTTTGGATTGTCAGGGTTCAGACCTTGCGCAATGGACTCGAAAAGGCAATTACCTTGCGCTGAGTTGGGCACCCGGGTCAGGCCCTTTGGCGCATCTCTCACAACCGCCCTTTTCTTAGGCGGCGGCTTGGCAGCCTTCTCAGGCGAGCCACCCATTCGCTTGGTGGCTGCTTTGGCTGGCGACGTCATTTCCACATCCTTTACCTCACTTGGCTGAGAAGCTTCAACTGCCACAGGCGGTTGCTTCTCAGTGGCTTCAGCGGAAGCGGTGTCCTGCGAATGCCCTGCAGCAGCTTTGGGCTTCACCTTAACAGGGGAAGCAGCATAAAACGAAGATCGCTGAGCTGGCTGAACCTCAGCAGATCCACGGGTCTGACCAAAGGCAGGCGAGAAGGACAGCGACGAAACAGTCTTGAGCTGCTGGGTCTCACTACGCATTCTCTTCATTGGGCTGAAAGCAGCAGCAGTGATTGTGATGTTGCCAAAAACCAGCTCAACAAAGTCAGTCCCTTGCGCGCACTCGGCAGTGAAGAAAAGGCACGTCGTTCGACCATGTGGCTTCCTGGAAGTGAGTTGCAAATTGCTCAAACCAGCAGCCTCAAGTTCAGGGACGAGGCTTTCGTGACTCCAATCTCTCGGAACACCAGTGACCTTCCAGGTTTTGACCTTGGTCGTAGCGACCTTCTTGTCGCTGGCTGGCGGGACTCTGACTCCGAGATTCTTCAGGCCTCTGGCCAAGCCAAGGTTGCCAGCCATGCTTAACACTCTTGCGGCATAAACATGTCCAGATTCATCCGGCAGACGCTTCTCCCACCGCACTTGGCAGGTGGGGATGTCAGGCTGATCCCAACGCAAGGGTTCAATGAACCAGGCTCCTTGTCCGGACAGACTCAAAAGAGTTTTGGCAGCAGAAAGCTCGACTCTCATGAGGGAAGTGATCAAAGCCTTGCCCCCCCCTTTGGAGGACTGCAATTGCCAACTCCAGATGTCTCGGATTTGTCTCTGCATCGCAGCCGGGACATTGGCATGGATCCATTTGTGGGCAGCCCCACCGGCGTTGTCAACAATGCCACGCCAGCGCGGATCCTCATGGTACTTGGCTTCTGTAGAAAACCTCAAAACAACTGTCGGAGCAACACTAGGTGCAGACTCTACAGTGCGAACTTGCTTCTTCAGCTTAGGGCAGCTGACTCCAATGGAAAAGACATGCGACATGCGAGGGACGAGCTTGCCACGTGTTTTCCCTGGAACTTGCGTAAATTCGCCAGCAGACTTGGGGACATCAACACCCTTGGTAGAGGGCAACACAGCAGTGATGCCGACATGGCGGTCTGGCTGGACCTCACTTTCAACCAAAGTCTTCAACTCTTCCAGCTCACATTCACTGGAAAAGGGCTTGACTTGCTCATCCATAACCATCACCGCACCACAGGTGGCTTGCCAGAGCCGCATTGAAGGGACCTGCCGAGGGTTGTCTCCCAGCTCCTCCGCCTTCTGGCGCTGGTTGAGAGCGAACTTGGCTATGGTGCATTGGCTATCCTGCTCATGCGCTTCACAGGGCCCTGGCCTGGTCATGGGAGTCACCACAAAGGCGTCCAACACATACAGGTTGGGAGTCTGCTTGAACTTCTCCCGCTTTCCAATGGCTTCAGCATTTCTCTGATTGAAGGCTTCACACTGTGAAAGTAGCCACCCACTATGCAG